TATCACCTTGACGAATTATTGGAAACATCCCCATCATTGTTCCCCAGAAAACAAATTGTATATAGAATATTATGAATCGGATGTATACATAGACCATACGCTCTCTAGGAATCCGCTTTCCCCTCCCGTCAGCGGGTAAGCTGCAATGTCTCAAGCATTGGGCCGCACTGTAGCCTCTTGTCATGCTGAGGCTGCATTTGGTGGCCTCCTGGAATTCTGGCATTTAGTATTCCTTGTGTTTATATTGTGGCAGGACCCCCCCAACTCCCCCTTCTCTCGGTGCTGTAGGATAAGTGAGACATGCTTTAATAAACAGTCTTGGTTTGGAAAAACTGAGCTCTTTACCACTAAGTAGCATAGTCTTGACATCTGGTCTCCTAATACTTAATCCTGTTTCCTGTTGGACTCTACCCCCAGTAAGATCATAGACCATCTAATAAACACTTGTTGGTTTGTAGCGTAGCAACGTGGTAACACCGGCTAGAAAAACCTGAGACGTTCTTGCTCAGCAAACTGACGTAATAGAAAGGAATGATAGACTTTAAGGGCGCATTCATATCAGATCCGTTGCGTTACAATCTGTATTTCAATGGATGCTAATGGAAGGGCACCGAAAAATGAATGGGGCTAGTTCACACAACTCTGTTCTGCATCCATGAGCATAATTGTGTACTTTTGGAGGAACCCCAGTTATTGTCCATGTGGCATTGCGCTGTGTCGAGGAGTATCTACGTGCCATTGCTCATTGGCCCCAAGTATCAGCGTGCCATTGCTCGTTGGCCCCAAGTATCAGCGTGCCATTGCTCGTTGGCCCCAAGTATCAGCGTGCCATTGCTCGTTGGCCCCAAGTATCAGCGTGCCATTGCTCGTTGGCCCCAAGTATCTGAGTGCCATTGCTCGTTGGCCCCAAGTATCTGCGTGCCATTGCTCGTTGGCCCCAAGTATCTGCGTGCCACTGCTCGTTGGCCCCAAGTATCTGCGTGCCACTGCTCGTTGGCCCCAAGTATCTGCGTGCCACTGCTCGTTGGCCCCAAGTATCTGCGTGCCACTGCTCGTTGGCCCCAAGTATCTGCGTGCCACTGCTCGTTGGCCCCAAGTATCTGCGTGCCACTGCTCGTTGGCCCCAAGTATCTGCGTGCCACTGCTCGTTGGCCCCAAGTATCTGCGTGCCACTGCTCGTTGGCCCCAAGTATCTGCGTGCCACTGCTCGTTGGCCCCAAGTATCTGCGTGCCACTGCTCGTTGGCCCCAAGTATCTGCGTGCCACTGCTCGTTGGCCCCAAGTATCTGCGTGCCACTGCTCGTTGGCCCCAAGTATCTGCGTGCCACTGCTCGTTGGCCCCAAGTATCTGCGTGCCACTGCTCGTTGGCCCCAAGTATCTGCGTGCCACTGCTCGTTGGCCCCAAGTATCTGCGTGCCACTGCTCGTTGGCCCCAAGTATCTGCGTGCCACTGCTCGTTGGCCCCAAGTATCTGCGTGCCACTGCTCGTTGGCCCCAAGTATCTGCGTGCCACTGCTCGTTGGCCCCAAGTATCTGCGTGCCACTGCTCGTTGGCCCCAAGTATCTGCGTGCCACTGCTCGTTGGCCCCAAGTATCTGCGTGCCACTGCTCGTTGGCCCCAAGTATCTGCGTGCCACTGCTCGTTGGCCCCAAGTATCTGCGTGCCACTGCTCGTTGGCCCCAAGTATCTGCGTGCCACTGCTCGTTGGCCCCAAGTATCTGCGTGCCACTGCTCGTTGGCCCCAAGTATCTGCGTGCCACTGCTCGTTGGCCCCAAGTATCTGCGTGCCACTGCTCGTTGGCCCCAAGTATCTGCGTGCCACTGCTCGTTGGCCCCAAGTATCTGCGTGCCACTGCTCGTTGGCCCCAAGTATCTGCGTGCCACTGCTCGTTGGCCCCAAGTATCTGCGTGCCACTGCTCGTTGGCCCCAAGTATCTGCGTGCCACTGCTCGTTGGCCCCAAGTATCTGCGTGCCACTGCTCGTTGGCCCCAAGTATCTGCGTGCCACTGCTCGTTGGCCCCAAGTATCTGCGTGCCACTGCTCGTTGGCCCCAAGTATCTGCGTGCCACTGCTCGTTGGCCCCAAGTATCTGCGTGCCACTGCTCGTTGGCCCCAAGTATCTGCGTGCCACTGCTCGTTGGCCCCAAGTATCTGCGTGCCACTGCTCGTTGGCCCCAAGTATCTGCGTGCCACTGCTCGTTGGCCCCAAGTATCTGCGTGCCACTGCTCGTTGGCCCCAAGTATCTGCGTGCCACTGCTCGTTGGCCCCAAGTATCTGCGTGCCACTGCTCGTTGGCCCCAAGTATCTGCGTGCCACTGCTCGTTGGCCCCAAGTATCTGCGTGCCACTGCTCGTTGGCCCCAAGTATCTGCGTGCCATTGCTCGTTGGCCCCAAGTATCAGTGTTCCATTGCTCTGAGGCCTCGTTGTGCTATTGTTCTGCGACCTCCAGTGTCAGAATGTCATTTTACACTTTCACAAACGTCAGTGTACCATTGTTCTGCAATCCCAAATGTCAAAATTTTATTATTCCGATAACCTCACAAGACAGATAGTTCTCTTTGCCCATAGTAACCAGAGTCAACCTTTTATTTTCCCTTATTTAGTACAAGAAGATTAAAGTTATAATGTGGTTTCTTTAGGAATGTGAAAACTTTATTTGTCAGAGAGTTTAATAAATAAAACTGATAACCTGTGATATCTGTGGAAGGAGTGGTTGTAATGCACTTGTCCTCTTGATGCCGGTTTGTTATTATAATCTGTATGTGCAGAGTTTTATCTATGTGGTTGTGTCCTTTGTTCTGTACATTGAATTCTCAGGGCAATGACTCTGCACTGTTATCCTGATGACGGATGAGTTAGGGAGATGTAGAAGCTCAATGGCTCCCCTATTGGCCTTCCCGTCACACTTTGCTATAGTCTGCTAGTTACTGTCAGTATTTGGCCTTCGTGATGCGTCATGTCCATATTAATAACCTGCGCTGACTAACTGCTTCATCAGAACATGTAGACATGTGTCCTGATATATATCGGCTTCATCAACCAGTCTTATTACAACATTTCCCTTATGACTTTATAACATGTTCTTACTGACTCATTAAGTCTGTAGGAAAGGGAAGTGGTTGGTTACCCTTGGCGATGTTTGAGTTTGATTATGTTTCGTACATACACTAAGGTAGGCTGTCTGATCAGGTCCGCCGATCAGGTTTTCAGGCAGACCCGATCGGATTGCCAATGCAAGTCTATGGGTAGCTGGATCTAAACGGACGGGTGTCTGTTTACATTTGGTTACCCTCGGCTCCGGCCAGGTCCGAAAAAACAGACAGAACAGTGTTCCGTTTTGCCAGACCTGATCATGCTGGATTGGGGGTGATCTGATGTAAACAGACACATTGGGGGGAATTTATCAAAATTGGAGCAGAAATAATCTGGAGCAGCTGTGCATGGCAACCAATCAGCATCCGCCTTTCATTTTCAAACCTTAACTGAACAAACTGAAGAGAGAAGCTGATTGGTTGCCATAGGCAACTGCTCCAGATTTTTCTGCTCCAGTTTTGATAAATTCCCCCCATTGAATGTCCGTTTACATCCGATTCCCCATTGACCGTCATGGGGTCCGGTAATTTCAGTTTTTCCCTCCGCCATAAGATGGAGGAAAAAATTGTATGGACACGCATGTCACAGCAGTGACATCCGATCCGTGCAACTGATCCCCTCCTGACTGGACAGCCTAAGGCTGACCATACTCTCTTTGAATTCCCACCTACGGGGTCTGAACGGCAGAAGTCCATCCATTTACCCCCATCCACGCTAAAAGGATGGGGCTGCTGAATACCCAAACAATTCATGTATCTGAATGGATGCAGCCGCTCTATGGATGATAATTTTTGGACTGGCTCCTTTGACAAAAGGAGGAAGAGGGGCGTGCTGAAAGGGCCATCTGCAGCTCAAATTTTGGCCGATTTAGCAAGAATTTGCCAAAATACCAAAGGTGTATGGCTAGCTTTAAAGATCGCTGGAATTTGGTTTCATTGGGAACTGGCTTTTAGACAACCATTGTACAAATTGTCTACACTGCTGGCCCAACTATACGGACTGGTGTTCGGGTGACCTGGCTTTAATATGTAGCAGCAACTAACATGGTTTTATGGGACATAAAGATCTCCAGAGGAAGCAAACACTTATGGGGTTTGAAGTGTGGCCCTTGGGCCCCAGAAATCAATAGTGGGAATTACGGATGCACCGATACCGAGTATTTGGGCGAGTACTCCCCCAAATGCTCCGATGCCTAGCCCGATACTTCCGGTAGCAGGAAGGCGGGCAGCCAGTCATTACACACTGCCCAGCTTCCTGATTGGCCGCGAATCTGGCTCCATGCTCCCTCGCCACTTGTGGGACTCCTCAATGGGACTTCCGGTATCGGCGAGTACCGGGGAAAAAACAATATCGGTACTTTATACCGAAATACCAGTATTGGTGCATCCCTAGTGGGAATATTGTTTCTTAAAGGGCCCTTTAATACCAGTGATGTCTAGCAGTCTAATTGACACACATCCACAGTCTGTCTCCTACAGCATGACTTCATTCTTCAACCATTCCCATACGACAGTCATACCAGCAGTTTCCTATAGTAAGTTTTCAGTCTTGACATGACAGTTTTCTGTAGTATTACTTATAATAAATATTATATAGGTGCCCTGGGAGATGTCAGGGGCTGCGTTTGAGGCCCCCCTATACCTTGCAAGTTGACAATCATTGCTATATATCCTATTAATGATATGCAAACGTCAGAGCTTAGGGTCCCCCTGAGGTCTTGGTTGTTCACCCTTGACCTACCTATCTCATTGATGATGTTCGCTTTCTCCCAGCATCTGAATGTGCATTACTATCATTGTAATAGACCTTTATGTTCTGCTGTGTATATATTGGTGCATTGTTTCTGTCCCTTGTAAAGATGGATATATAGTCTTTAATGTGTCTTGTGTCTCTTTCTTCCAGCAAAGGCCGGAGACCGACTCTGATCCTCCGGACGCAGCTGTCTGTGCGGGTTCACGCCATCCTCGGTGAGTAAGCTGTGATGTCACTGATGATGTCATGGACTGTATGACCCTATTATAATGTTTTCTGGTTCGCGGGTACTTTCATCACATATGGGAGAACTGGCAGCTCCACAACAACATTCGGTTATTCGTTCTAGAAAAACTCCAATCGTCTTGATAACAAACATGCTCGTTTATGGGCTCTCTGTGCCTCTCACAGTCTGGAGCACATGGACAGTTTTGCATTTTAAATATTTTTGTTGTCATCATCCTCAACAGTCCTTTCCTTCTCTGAGTCTAAAAGCTGCAGACACCTCCGGTCTTTCTAGAAAGACATTTTTTGCTGGAATACATGAAAAGTGACTGCAGCTGACTGTAGGCCCTGTTTGGCTGAAACGTTTAAGCCCGGTGTTCTGTCGAGAACGCCAACCTAGTCGAATTTGCCGACCTCACCATCTGTGATTGCCCACACACCAGGAGGAAACATTTATTTACAAAGTATTTTGTCTTAATTACTAATTGTGACCATTAATAATATGCCATCCGTGGCTGTAAATGATGGATGGCATTTTATGCACATTCACAAATAATATCGTATGCAATTACATAATAATGTGTTTGCTTGCAATGTTAATTGTGAATGTGCACAAAATGCCATCCACCATTTACTGCCATGATTGGCATATTATCAACGATCGCAATTAACAATTACAAATTAATACTTTGTAAATAAATGCCTGTTTCCTCGTTAAAATTCGACTGGGTTGGCATTCTCGACCCAGTACCCGCTGAAATCAATTCAGTAATCAGCTTTCCTCAACACGGCGGGGCCATCCACTGTTTTTTCATCTGATTGCTGCAATTTGGCTACAATTCTAACAGTGTATGACCAGCCTTAGTCTGAGTGTTGCTGCACAATTCAATACCTATACTGAGTATATCTGTGAAGGTTCTTATTCATCCAGGTCATTGTATTTTACAGATATACTCAGTATAGTTAAAAATACACAATCAGTGGATCTGCATAAGATGTGATAACATCAGCTGTCCTTAGACCACTGGGGCCCGGGGGGAGAAGAGGCTGCTGGGACCGGTCTAGCAGGGCAAAGGAATCTGGGATCCGGTAAATACATTTGCTTAATTCCAGCCCCTAGACCAGGGTTGGGCAAACTACGGCCCTCTAGCTGTGGTGGAACTGCAAATCCCTTAAAGGAGAACTATGAGGTGAGTGCTTTTCACTCGCCTCATAGTTCTAGCCGACCTGTGACAATGAGACTGTCACAGGTCGGCTCAGTAGATCGGGAGGTGAGCGAACACATACCGGGTATACTGAGCTTAGGGTAACTTAGGGTATACATACCGGTATACTGAGCTTAGGGTAACGGGAGGGCTCTAGTTTGTGTCCTCCCGTTACCCTAAGGAGAACTATGGGGGGGAAAAAAACACCTACCCCATAGTTCTCCTTTAATGCATCTGTCTCTGGGAGTCATGCCTGAGGCTGTTCGAATCTTGCAATGCCTCATGGGATTTGTAGTTGGAGGGCTGGAGTTTGCCCACCCCTCTCCTAGACCAAAATGAGCACTTAACCCTTGCAGTGCGGAGGTAGCACCACTGCAAGGGTAAGGGTTTTTTTAACCTAGAAGATGGCGGTCACTTGAGTGGGAGTGTAGTTTCCTTTATTACACCCTGTTACCCGTGACCCAGTCATACCTAGACTTGTTCTTAAACTACATTCTTTTTTTTTGTGCCAGCCTCATGCTGCATTCTTTTTTGATACCTGTAAAATAATAAGAGACATAGACTTGGCCTGGCCTGACTATCTCTGATGGATTAATACTCTCAGATAGCAGTCCATTCCTCCCATTGCGGCTTTTACGAGAGACGCGGCGTTATTCCAGCTCCTGCAAGAGATATATAGCAGCGGCGGCGGCGGCTGTGCTCCGTCTGGGCTATAACACGCCTACCTCTGTTTTTCTTATTATTGTGTCACTAGTATCTGACTCCAGAAAATACTTTTTTCTCTCCCGGAGAGAGACGGAGCGCGTCATTCTGCCAGCGGAACGAGCACCTCACAGTCTATAGAACAACGTCTCGGAAGACGTGGAACCTACACATAACGGTATTTTCTCTTTCTTTACAGAAAAATTGTACAACTCTAATGGGCCAGAACTAAGGCGATCGCTCTTCTCTCTCAAGCAGCTTTTCCAGGTGGGAATTCTTTGATGATGTGGTCGTTTTTTGCCAGACTGTCTCGCTAGGCCGCTCTGTAATATTCCGAGCCGAGCTCCGTCTAGTAAATCCAGATGTATAGTTTAATATGCCAGTAGTCTTTCTCCTCCTTGCTTTATTTTTTTTCCCCATTTTTCGATGTTAGCGGCAAGAAAAGTAGCGTTATGATAACGTTATTCTTTGTTTGCTCTTTAAAGAGAGTCACAAGTGTGGATGGAACTGATCAAATTTGGTAAATGTAATTTGTAATATGGAGGAAAGTTGCTCCAAGGCTTTGTGCAATACACTCAGGGGTCCTGATCCATACAATGAACAATATTTAGTAACTAGACGGGCAGACCCCAAAAACGGATGCAGCTAGAGATAGCTGGACATGTTACAGTTTGGCTGGTCATGTTAGGTGATGGCTAGATATCTTTTGATAGGTAATTGTATTATATTTCTTGTTGCCGCTCTTGGTTGACTCTCCTTTTGCTTCTTCCACAGGAAGACAAAGATTTGGTGCCAGAGTTTGTTAACTCAGAAGGGCTGACATGTCTGATCAAAGTGGGGGCCGAAGCCGATCAAAACTATCAGAACTACATCCTACGAGGTTTGTGTTATTTTATGGCTAAAAACTTATATTAATTCTACCTTGTTTGTGAATCACTAATGTTTCAGAGACCTCCTACATGAACTTGTGTGCATTTCACTGCAGTTACGCTTTGCAGGTGGAGTACAGCTTAGCTTAATATTTATTATAGAACAGCCTTGTGGGAGTTTAGATTTGTTTTAGTGTTGGCTTCTAGTAAACGCTGAAAAGGGGGGTTCAAGGCCAGGAGAGGCCGTGTACTTTAAAGTGGACCCAAAGTAAAAAAAAAAAAGATATGCCGTCTTATGGGAAACATCTAGAAACTGTGTCCTAGGAATGCACCAGTGTTTGGGCAAGTACTCGTACTCGCCCAAATGCTCTTATACCTTCCCTGATACCAGAACTTCAGGTCAGAGTAAGATTTCCTCTGACCAGCAGTGGCGTACGGGAACATGGAGCTGGGTTCCTGGGCAATCAGAAAGTCGGGTGGCGAGTACTGACCTGCCTCCCAGCTTCCTGATTAGCTAGGAAGCCGGCTTCGCGGCCAGTCAGCATCAAGCTGGTCGATAAGCCGCCTCGATGCTGATTGGCTGGGATGCTAGCTTTCCAGCCAATCAGCATCGAGCCGGCTTCCCGGCCAATCAGGAGTAATGAGTAATGACCTCCCGGCTTCCTGATTGGTCGGGAAGCCAGCTCGATGCTGATTGGCTGGGAAGCTGGTTTCCCGGCGAATCACAATCGAGCCGGCCAAATGGGCAATCAGGAAGCCGGGCGGCATGTCATTACCCTCGGCACGGCTTACTGATTGCTCGGGAAGCCAGCTCCATGCCAGCGGAAGCACTGGTATCGGTATTCGGTATGGGCAAGTACAGAAAGCAAAATATCGGTACAGATTTTCGATACCAAAATAACGGTATCGGTGCATCCCTACAGTGTACAATCAGTACCCTGAAGAAAACGTACCTTTTTATCCTGAATTCCTCATGAAAACTAGCAATGCACTTCCTATGCCTTGGCACTCTTAGCTATACATTGAGCCTCATAGCTATATACTTATAGTGTGACATCACCTGAGACACTGCTACCTCTGACCGCTAGACTCACCAGATTTTGTGTTGTTTGTGTCACTACTGTGCTGCTCACTGTTCTCCTTGCTGGAGGGACAGCTGTACCTGAAGACCCACTGACAAGCATCTACATGCATCTGCTACTATTACTCTGTGGATATGTATTTGGATTGGGTACCACATATGGCACCTTATCATAGTACAAATTGTACTGTGACAGCAAAAGTGAGTGCTAGATTTCATATAGTATATAGTTTTCCAGAACTTTGGATGTCTAATACACTCAAGTGCATGTTGGCAAAACAAAGTAAACGTTTGTGCATATGATAAAAAGAAAATTTATAGGTAACCATGATGAAAAATGATTCATTTTATGCTCTCCAATTTCAGCTCTAAGTCAGATCATGCTATTTGTTGATGGCATGAATGGCGTCATCAATCACAATGAGACCGTCCAATGGCTGTATACTCTCTGCGGCAGTCCGGTGAGTCTGGGTCCAACTGGTTCTTTTGGTTTGGAAATGTTTTTTCTTTCTGTACGTTAGTTTCCACATCTTCTTTTCTGTGCTGTCCAAAGCGGTACTTTGTAAAATCATTTAGGGTCTGCTCCGTTCAGCATTGACATCTTCTTTTAAGGTCACTCCTACTTACTAGTTACTGGTCTGTGAGATGTCACAACTCGATAACTGAAAGAAACGATCAATGTAACGTGTTTCTGCTACGTGGCAGTTGATCATATGCTGGGATACAGCTATCTGCCCACTGCAAATTCTAAAAGAAATATGCCATTGGAGAGGGCCTAGCTAGGGTAAGCGTGAAAACCTTAATGTTGGAAAAACTGGCACCATTATCTTTTTACTATGAATATATTAAAGCGGTAATTGCATAATCCTATAGATAAATGCACAAAGAGAGGGAGCAGCAGTGACTGAACTTTAATACAGGAAGCTCCTCCACAGTGGCAGTGTAATAGGGCTGCAACCAAGTAATCAATAATGAGAATAGTTGTCAACTATTCTCATTATCGATTAGTTGGTTGGATCCCTTAGCTCAATGCTGGGAGGAGAGCACAGCAAGCAGTGGGCGTGTGCAATAGCCAGTCTGCTATTGGCTATTACAATTTGAAATTGATAATAACAGGCTGGCTTTTGCACCAGCCCACTTCCTGCTGTATTTACATTCAGCTGCCACCTGCGGAATCTGTATCACTTGTGCCATTCTACTTCTGAACCATCCTGAAATGTGTAGTAATATTGAGCATCATTTGCAACATCTAATAGTATATATTTTCTGTCCTGTGCATATTTTATTCCCATGTATTCAAATTTGCTTCTTCCTCAAAACGTTTCTTATAGTTTATTTTAATAACCGGTATTTTCTCATCTCCTAGTATCGCCTGGTGGTGAAAACAGCACTGAAGCTTTTGATCGTCTTTGTCGAGTACACAGAATTGAATGCTCCACTGCTTATTAAAGCCGTAAACACAGTAGATCACAACAGGGGTAAGACTTCTTTTTGAGGGAAACATCACATCTGGGTTTTACATCTGACTTGACACAAACGTCTAGACTTTTGCCACACATGTAGAACACATGAGGGGTGGTGTGGGACCCCATCGCCGTGCCTCATGCTGTGTCAGGTGCAGAATTGTTTTCAGCTGGTCTTCCCTGTCCTCTGAATACAGCACATCTGTTTATAGATAGCAGTCCTCATCTAACCCCACTATATGTCTTATAAATGTCAGTCAGTCTGGCTAATAGCAGTACAAGTTTTCCCTATGGAGGCTCAGCCAGGTGGTGCTGGCTACGATAAGGGAGTTGCCTACAGACATTTCCAGATCTGATTAAACAGCTAGACTGGGCAGATGTCTGATCCTGATTACTTGCAAGAACAGGGCAGAATATCCTTCCAATATCAGGAAATCTTAACCTTTCTCCCTGATTCAGGCCTGCCCAACTATGACATGTTGGGAAGGTAGAGTAAATGTGCACACAATGCTGTGGATGCCACTTTATCACAGGGAAAACAATGGTAGTCTTCCAGTCTTAGAATCCATATGTGTCCATCAGCTTTCCACCAGTAAGCAGAACTGGATTATCCACAAGGCAAGCTTGGTAGGAACCTGGGGATTGGTGGATGATCAGCCACAACTTGTGACCCATATACGTAGATAATTACGAACTGTACATAAAAACAAGATTTTTTTAAGCATTAGCACACATAAGAATATTTATATTAAGTAGATCAAGTTAATGTGTAATTAAAAAAAAAAAAAAAAAACTTAGCTTAAAGGAGAACTATGGGGTTAGTTCTCCTAAGAGTAACAGGAGGACACAAACTAGCGTCCTCCCGTCACCCAAAGCTCAGTATACTGCGAGCTACAGCTCGCGATATACTGAGACGCCGGAACGGATCCCGACAATTATGTCTGGACCCACCCAGCTGCATGAGTGACAGCCGGCTCAGCCTATCTAGAGGCAGAGCCAGCTGTACCCGCGTCCGTTCCGCCAGTCAGCGCTGGAGGATCGGACGGCGGAGGGGGGAATCCAGCCTCTCCCCTGTCACGGCTCTCTGCAGGGATAGATGGAGAAGTGAGCGAGCGCCGGTATGTGTTCGCTCACTTCCCGATCTACTGAGCCGACCTGTGACCTGCTGAGTAAAAATCGCTCACCTCGTAATTCTCCTTTTAATTTTAAAATGATCATATATTCTTATGAATGTTTTTAGCTCTTGGTGTTCAGTACACCAAGTAAAAGTTCTCTTTTCACCTAGGTACTAACCCGTGGTCAAACCTGGTGGATATTCTGGAGGAGAAGAACGGGGCGGATTCCGAACTGCTGGTGTATGCCATGACACTAATCAACAAGGTAAGAAGAGACGGCCCTGCACGCTGCATTCAATGGACTACTAAGAGCTTTGCAGGCTTGTGATCTGGCTACTGTATGAGTGAGGGCGGCTATGAATGCGCTGCCCCTTGTTTGTGCCTGTTTGGTGTGCTTAAGATGGCATAATCCCAGTTCTTGAATGTTTGCTTGGTATGGATGGCAATGATACCAGATAATTTGAGTAATGTGGGCTGAATTTTTAGAGGCTGGCTGGTTGATATTTCTCTGAGCACTCACTGGGTACACAGCAGACCTCTGTGGTATAAGCCCTGACCTTAGGAGGATAGAAACTCGGCAAGAATGATCTTGCTCCTTGCTTTGTAGTATATACCCCCCTGTACAGGAAAATAGAACTCTTTTTTTTTTTTAGCTTGGCATTCCAGGTAGGACACCCCAGTCTTCTCTGTATTTCTGCCAAAGAATTGAAAAAAGAATGTCCTTCTAAAGATTATTGCTAGAGGATTCATGCATGGGAGTATTTCTTTCTACAAAGCTCCTACAGTTTCACACTGGGCCCACGACAGACATAAATGCTGTGGAGGTGAGATAAGCTTAATGTTAGAAAGATAAGCTGGTAAAAGTGATGCAAAGCTAGTGGATGATATGATCTCAAACGTAGTTGTAAAAAGAGTTGTAGTTGTAAAAGAGTTGTAACAACGTAGTTGTTAAAAGACGAGCTAGAAATGTTCTCAGAGCTCGGAGGAAAGGGTATTAAATCAGTGTCTTTGCTAGAAGAATAAGAGAGGTAATGGTGTGATCATACATGGGAAGGATCAATATAGTATTAGTGCTCAAAGAAGAAGAGAGTGAAGATAGTCTTAGTGCTAAAAGAACAGGGGGGGAAGGTGGTCTTGATTATGGATGAGGATGAATAAAGAAATGCTCCAAGTGAATGGGGATATATTTAGTACTACGAGAACAAGGTGTTTAGTGTTAGTTATAGGGGGAGAGAGGCAACTGTCTTGGTTCTAGAAGAACCGGGGGAAAAGAATATCACTAACAAATAGTAAGGAATAAACTCTAGTCCAAATAGAAGTAAAGTGCAAAGTATATCTGAAGCCAAATCTTTTGGTAAGAGTATTGCAAGGGTTAAAACCTGTCCATTTTTATTTTTTGATGTCTTTTTAGTAGTGAAAGTAAATCTCTCCAAAGTGAGTAAAGTCCCTTCTTATTTCCAAGTGTCCCCGTTGGAAGATATCCTCTCTGTTTCTGTTCTGGCAGGAATCCTTTGTGGTGGAGAAATAGAGGTTAAATCTCCCTAGTTGGGACAAAGACATCAATCAAAGCCTTTGGGGAATGGGTAGGTAGCATTGAAACCCTGGGATTAATCTGTTGGCATTACAATCTAGTAGTATTGCAATGGTCTTAAATTATGTGGTAAAACACAGTGTTCGTCAGCAGCTGCTGGCAAACACTGTGCTTCATAGCTTAAGTTGTCAAAATTTCACATACATTGTGTCCTCAATCCAGTCCAAGATTCAAGATTCAATATGTCCCATCGCACTCCTGACCGGAAACAGGGTGGGTGCAGCAGTGACAGCAGATGCCTCCGCAAATCTCATGAAACCAGTAAAAAGTCACTCGCACTCCAAAGCGATGCCAAGTCAATCTCTCTTACTGGTTTCACTCAATCCAGTGCATTCACGCTGCCTGGCCCCCAAAAAAAGTGAGGTCCTGGATTTAGCTAAGCAAATAGGTTAGAGCCTTCCACTGAATAATTGGTCTAGGTCAGTGGTTCTCAACCCGTGTAACCTCAGGACCCACATTTGTCTTTGGTCATTAAGCTGCGACCCAAGTCGCACCGCGATGGAACGCACGGCATTGCGGCACCGCCAGTCTCCCTACCTTATGAGAACTGGAGTGGATCCTCAGCCCGGGGTCCAGTGTGGACTGCTGTGCTGTGACGGAGCTCCATCCAGATGTGCATTGCATGTGCAACTCACTTGAGCTCCCTGTAGAGATTCCGGGAGCCAGAACGTGACGTCACTCCGGTTCAGGCAACTCTACAGGACACGCGACGGAGCTGTAAGCAATGCAGGTGTGGATGGAGCTCCCTCGTGGCCATAGCTCCAACCCACCCCACCTTACCTGACACTTGGCGCTTGGCACAAGAAATGATATTGCTGCGTTAGGGGGAGGCTGAGAAGCCTCTCACCTAGAAAAGTGGAAGGCACACGGCGACCCACTGAATGGGGGGTCGCGACCCACTTTTGGGTCACGACCCACCAGTTGAGAACCAAGGGTCTAGGTTCAGCAACCCTTTGTCCCCAAAAAAATGAGGTCAGCTGTCTACCTGAAAATAGTGAATCACCAGGTTTTCCAATCAATGGATTTTTTCTTTCCTGATGGCACATTGGGCATATGCCAAGATGGGGCCCAATATTCATCGGGCTCAGATTGTGAAAGAGTGGTTCAGGGAGCATGAGACATCATTTTCACACATGGGTTGTCCACCACAGAGTCCAGACCTTAACTCCATTGAGAATCTTTGGGATGTGCTGGAGAAGACTTTACACAGTGGTCCAACTCTCCAATCATCACTACAAGATCTTGGAGGGAAATTAATGCAACTCTGGACAGAATTTCTTTTTGTGATATTGCATAAGCATATAGAAACGATGCCACACGGCGAATGTGTAATCAAAGCTAAAGAGGGTCCAATGGAATATTAGAGTGTGTGATTTTTTTTTTTTGGGGCCAGGCAGTTTACTTTGTTTCCTATCTTTATGTCCTGATTAAGGGCCCCCCATAATGTGTTTTTGTATGGTCTTCCTCCAAAGTTTACATTGGAATAAATTAATTGGACTGTTATTTCATGATGTGGCCCTTTAATTAATAAAAGCATGATAGGGTTGCTAACCCTACCCTACTCTATCCAAACCTAGAAAATAAAGTTTTGGCTTTACACTTTAAAGGATCTTTAGTGCAAATATACAAGTAAAAAAAAAGTGATCTGTAGGGGCCTATGCCAACAGGCTTTTGTTCACACGCGTTCCCTTATAAATCCCACTCAAAGCAGGTCAAATGCAGCTCAGAAGGAGGTTAACTGCAAGTCAGGTGCACCCACCAATGAATTCTGAATGATCTCAGAAATGTGTTAAACTGATGCCATTGACACAAGCCCAAAGCCTGTTGACACAATCCCTAAGAGGTCTGACTCTTGTACCTTTGAAGGACTATTCTTCCCGATTTTCAAGAGCGTAGTCTCACCCCTCTATGTTTCCGTGTATTTGGCAACCAAAGAGACCGTGTATTTACCGAACACGTGACAGTAAAGATTCATTGCTTTGTGCTTTGTGGTCAGCCCAGAATAGCTGATTGTGTGCTGCATCACAAGTGAGCGTGACAGTCCGATAATAACGGGGAGCCCAGTGTGTGTCGGAGAACATCTTGTGGCTCTGCCAGTACCTGGCCTGACTTGTTCAGACACGGAGGGGTCAATGAGTCCAAAACTCCATTCAAAACACAACATTTAGTCACGAGCCGCGTCTGCTTTTTGTTTGCGGATAAACCATTTGGCAGAAAAAGTCTAGTTCTAGTTGGAAGAACAATCCAGCCAAACACATTAAAAAAACACCATTTTCATTTATAGCTTTTTTTTTTTTTCAAAAGTTACGAAATCACTTTGCAGTTCAGTTAGAAAGGTTTCCTTAAAGGGCAACTTCACTTTTATCAAACTTGTCCTTTAATAAATCCACCCCACCCCCCTGAGAGCAGGGTTCCTGGGATAATACCTTTCTGCTCCCCCAATCCAGCGATCTTTCCTTTAACGTCTGGCCCTATCTTTCTGCCCTTAGGGTTAGGGGTAACCCTAACCCCATCCATTCCTATGGGTAGATGTAGCCATGGCGGCTTCCAGCGGCCCCTTGGAGTGTGACATACCCATAGGAATGATTGTGGCTGCAGTATGAGGAGAACCCGGCTAGAACCTTGTCAGTAAAAAGAATGCTGGATCGGGGGTAAAGGTAAGTATTATCCATGGTAGTGCATCTAGGGGTTGTGGTTTTTTTTTTAACCCTTTCGCTGCCAACACCATGTGCCGTACGTTGCTGGCAGCAGGTCCCTTTAAACAGACTCCCTCTGTTCGGCTGTGTAAAGCAGACGGTCAGCTTTACACTGGAAGCGATTTTGGCGGCTGAGCTGTCGCCAGATCACTTCCAGGGGGCGGTGAAGCGTGCTGACACCACCCTCCTTGCTTCCCGGCCTCTGTTGCTCCTCTTGCGGGCCCAGGACCAGCATCACGGGTGTCAGCGGGTAGAAGGAAGAGAGGCGGGTGAACATCCATTTAACAATCTCCTCCTTGCTGAATGGGCCTGGAAGCAATGCTGATTGTGTCACTTCCAGTTCCTCAGCTGTCATTCCCCAGCTAGAAAAGCTATTGAAGCATGATCTGTGCTTGAATGGCTTCTTTGAAGTGGAAAGGTGACACTAGGGATCTAATAGACCCCTAATGTCACCTTAAAGAGAACTGGTTTCTACCTAATAACCTATCGCATAGGGATATGTCTGTGAAGGTTCTCATTCATCCAGGACATGGTATATCTGTAAAAAATACAATACAAATCTGAATTGAGAAAGCTGGTCGGATGACCAGTGAAACGTCTTCAAGAAAAATACAGCACTTCCAGTTGCCTTGACTTATTTTTTTTACAGATATATCACATAGGGAGCTTGTGAGCCCCCATGTGATGGCAATGAAGTAAAGTAAAAAAAAAAAGTAAAATAAGTTTAACAATACAAAAAAAAAACAATTTTAAAGTGCCCTGCATACAAAATATTAATTGGGCTACACATGTTGGGTATCGCCACGTCCTCAATGGGAGAGCAATCATTCTAGGGCCAATATTCACTGTCAACTCTAAACTGATGAACTGTGCAGGCCTTTAAAGCGTCACCTATGGACAGTGCGGGGTATCGCTGTTTTTTGGGCGCACACAATTTTTAAGCTTTTATGTTGGGTATCTATTTACTCGGCATAACCTCATCTTTTTTTTTTATATATAAATGGGTATTATGCTTATGGGCACTAAACTTGTGGATGTGGATTATAAGGTCTGCAAAAAATGCATAAAATGCCCTGGCAGCGAAAGGGTTAAAAGACAATTTCTCTAAAGGTGAAGGAAGGGGCAGGACTGGAAGCCAATCGGGAGTGCTGCATGCCAATGTGCTGACAAGGAACACACTGGTAATAGGAAAGAACTGAGCAGATAGATGACCCAATCAGCCTTCCGCTGCACTTTTACAGTGCAATCAACAGGCTGGAGAGACACCACTGCATTCCTTATCTATAAGCGGTGTCACCTGCCTGGATGTGCTGTATGAGAGGGCAGTGTTCACTCCAAAACTGGATGGACAGAAATACAAATCCTTTGGCAGGTAACGCAGCTCCCGCTGATGTATTTCAGAGTCCAGCTGTGAAATATTTTAGGCGCCATGGATCCTTTATACACATGATGCTGGAACAGAATCCGTAATGCATACGGCGAGTTCATCTCCCTGATATACGGACCGCATTCTCCTTCCCTGTAGATGACTCAATCGGATCCCTGATAGCATGACGTGTCTGTGCCGGCAAGGCCGCACATATAATATACTTTATGGCCGAGCAGCCACCTCATCACAGGCAGGCCTCACTATATTGTATTTTACATCCTCAGCCGGTAGGACGGGAGTGACATCAGCAGAGGCGCAGCCAACAGAGCCAGACGTCGTCCAAAGTGCAAAATACCAAATACAGGCAGGAGAGAGGGAAGATTCATATAAATGGCAGCTAGCACACATACAGAAATTGTATTAGCTGCCAACGATTTGTAATGCACGTACTCCGGCAGCTCCCCTCCCCCTTACTGGGATCTGGGGATGCATAGTTAGCGGCACGTTTCTGACAAGCTGGCCATACACTGTAGGATTTTTCTAATGCACCCCTCTGGAGGTAGAACAAGAAGAGTCACCTGGTTCCCCCTTCCATGCTAAAGAGTATGGATGAAGGATCTCCCATGATGGCTATTGTATTCCGACAGCCCATGCCTGCAGCTGTCAGAATACATGAACAGCGACTGGAGCTGATTGGCTGCCGATTTTCCACCAATATCGATTTCCAACCCATGGATCAAATTTGGGATGATTCAGCAGAGAATGGCCAACACTTGATGCATGTATGGCACCAGTCCTGAGCTGTACTCTAGATGTAAACTAGGAATGCACCGATACCGATACTAGTCCTTTTATCTGAACCCCTAGACCAGGGGAAGGCAAACTCCAGCCCTGCAGCTTGTGGTGAAACTACAACTCCCATCTTGCTTCTGCCTCTGGGAGTCATGCTTGTGACGGTCAGAGTCTTGCAGTGCCTCATGGGGTTTGAAGGTGCACCACAGTTGGAGGCTACCCCTACACTAGACCTAAACGAGCAGTTAACCCTTGCAGTGCAGGATAGCCCAATTGCAAGGGTTAATTTTTTTACATTCCTGGAGTTCCGCTTTTAGGAATGTCGTATTTTCATAAGATAGCAAGGAAATATGACAAAATTTCATACAATGACCCGCCCCGAAATCTGAAAGTGGAATGATCTGGGACCCGGGAATCCTGCTGGAGATGACCTATCAGCAGGAGATGACCTATCAGCAAGTGATTGATCCTGCCAGGCACCACCCGAAAACTAAAATATCAGAGAAGGTGGTTAAAGTGTCCCTCTACCCAAAACTTTTATTTTTTAAATGTCTTGGATTGCACGGGGACAGATTAGAACCCCTGTCAAGTTTTTATTGCAGTCTGGGCCCCTTGCTGGGGGAGATTCACTCTCTCCATTTCTCCTGATGACCATTGCCACTGGGACACAAAGTAGGTGACTTCCAATGGGGACAACTGTCTAAGGCCCTGTGCACGTTGTCAGTGCGCATGAATATGCGGTTTGCCGTGTGTCAGCCCATTCATTTCATTGGGCTGCCCTATGCGTGACCAAAGAGGCAAAAAAAACTCATGCAGCAGTTTGAGCTGCGAGCTTCATGCGGTTTTTGGCCACACGTTTGTCACGCATCAGCCTGCCGCATTTTAGGGTGCCATTAAGAAGCACTGGCACCACAAGCACAGACAATACTCCTTTTTCTGGCGCTGTGCAAATGGTCGCCAATGCACACACTTTGGCGCATGTCCACACATACGGCAAGTGTGAATGGGTCCTAAACCTCAAAAACAAAACACGACAGGGCACCTAACCTATTGTAAAATCCAGCAGTCAGAACAGAGAGACATATTGTCCTGTGTCATCCTTGTGTCCCGGGGGAACGATCTATCCCCCGTACATGGCGGCACAGCCGCACTTGGCACTTTTATTGACTCATCGAGTGTAATTAATGACTACCTGTATCTTTTTATAACATTAAAGCAATTTTACACTAGGGTAGGCGCCCCTGTTATGTTTTGTTATTTTAGGTTTGCTCAGTTCCCTGACTGTCAACGGGGCCGCCTCCAATAGTGGTGCGTATTTAAAGGGCGGCTATTCAAGTCCTGTGGCACTGATGTGGAATGTGGTTGAATTGGGGTCCTAAATCTGGCTAAAAATTAGACGACAGAGTCTAAGGACCGGCTCCTTTAACAAAATTCTATTTAAAAATGACTTTTGCTGAACAAAGGGGTGCCGATGGGGCCTCGCATTACTCTTGGCACTTACTTTTTGGCCTAGTTAGCAGGAATAGGCTGAAATTTGAGCAGTGTAAAGTCAGCTTAAGAGGGGATTTCCCTTTACTTTGGAGAGATTCCTTCTTGTTGTATATCTGGGACAGGAAGTGGAGGATAATCTCTTTTCTCTTCTCTACTCATATCTAATAAAAAGTTTTGGCTATAGATAATGGTTATAGCATAATGATATATCCTCCAGCTCACCCCTCCACCTTACCCCTCCACCCTACCCCTCCACCCTGAGCACTTTCTTGGTATACCTGTGCCCACTTTTATCGCACAAACGCTTGCTCGTCATGAAACGCATTAAGAATTACTGTGTGTGTGTGTAACTGCGGCTGCAGGAAGATGCACTGCGTGGAATTGTGCCTGCTCACGACGATGCATGCTCCTTAACTGCAAGCATTGCTCCATGTCTCTGTTCCCGGGAGCTTCTAATCTAGCTATTGTCTTTTTTAGCCAATCCAATATTCAGGAGTGAAGGTGAGTTCTGTAATGGCGGTGAAGTTCCCCTTTTTTTTTTTGCAGTTTTGACTTTTGGTGTGCACTGGACTGTGGAGAGTATAACCTTGCCTTTGTTTTCTCTGCATCCTTCTGGCAAATTTGATATTGTCGGGCGAAATATATTATAACCAATGAATCGAATGTTTGAGTCGCTTTTGTATTTTTAAAAGAACAACTCTGGTTAAACATTTGTATTAACCCTTGCAGTGGGGCTACCCTAGAGTTGGGGTTATCCCTAGAGTTAAAAATAACAGTTATACCCCGCCTGATCCTCTGAGCTGGTCGGCTGTGACAACACTCCCACCACCGGCTGCAGTGATGGTATGTCCCTCGGCGTCCTCACATCCTATACACAGTGTATAGAATGTGATGACTCGGGGGCCTTAGACCGCTGCAGAGGTGGGGGAGAGAGACTCCATTGACTGCTCTATGAGCCAGCCGTCTCGGAGGATCGGCTGAGGATAACTTGTTCTTTTACCCCGTGGCATAAACGAGCACTTAACCCTTGCAGCGTATGGGTTGACTTGCTTGATCGGGCTCCATTGGATCCTATGGAATGTTAATGATAGCAGTAAGCAAGCCCACGGCAGCAAGCATTAAAACATATCCAATTGGGTGCTGTAGAAACTTCAAAAGCCTGTCCAGGCGGAGTGTTTTAAAAAACAAATTCACTGCCCTCCTTGCCTTCGAATATCAAATTGGTTTGAAAGGTGAATTACACTTGAAGTGACCCTTATAGATTAGATTAGGGTCAAGGAAGCCATAACTCTCCTGCAGTTGGCCGACGAGGCTCGCTGAGACCTGTAGTCCCCCAGTCGTTGTGCGACCGTGCCTCATTAGATTGTTACTCCTTCGTGTTGATTTTTGATCCCCCCAATAGTATGGGGGTGCCTTTGTCCATGCAGCTCTCACATTGCTGTTTTTTGTGTTTGTGCAGACTCTGGCCGCTCTTCCCGACCAGGACTCTTTCTACGACGTCACAGACTGTCTGGAGCAGCAGGGGATGGAGAAGCTGATCCAGCGACACATGAACAACAAGGGGACGGACCCGGATCTCAAGCAGCGGCTGGCTGTCTACGAGGTCAGTGCAAGGCTTGGCTGTCATGGCGTTCCCCTCCGCAGCTGACAGCTGAGGAATATCCCCGAGCGGAGAATTACTCTCATGTTCCGGGACATGCGAGACATCGTCTCTCTTCCTGATGTCTCAAGCTGCGCCCGTCACAACATCCAGCGGCTCCTCGTCTCACGCAGGAAGCCGCCTTCATTCTTTCCCGGCAGCCCAGTGAGTGATTAGGTGCCGTCAGTGACGAGCCTGAGGAACTTTCTTCTTACTGATACAAAATTCCATACGTGCCCTCCGGGAATATATCTCTAATGTTACAACATCAGCCAAACTTTAGTTATTGTTTAACAGCATTCTGTAAGTTGTGTATCCACTCCACCTATTTACAAAGACCATCGAGTTTAACCAAAGGAAAAAAAAATTATGAATAAAACTAGAGATGCACCAATACCGGTTTTTCGATATCGAGTACGAGTACCGATACTGTGCTTTTGGTACTCGCCGATACTGAGTACCAATACAGGTGCTTCCGCTGGCATGGAGCAAGCTTCCCGGGCAATCAGGAAGCCGGGCGGTGGGTAATGACATACCGCCTGGCTTCCTGATTGCCCAGGAAGCCGGCTCCATATTGTTTGGCCGGCTTGATTGTGATTGGCCCTGGAAACTTGCCGGCCGAACAGCTGGCTCCTTGCTGATTGGCTGGAGAGGCGGCTTCCCAGCCAATTAGCATCGAGCCTGCTTCCTGGGAAATCAGGAAGCCGGGTGGCGAGTAATGACCCACCTCCTGTCTTCCTGATTGGCCGGGAAGCCGGCTCCATGCTGATTACCGAATCAGCATGGAGTTGGCTTCCCGGCCAATCAGGGAAGCCGGCTCCATGTTCCATGTATTGTGGAAGGTATCAGAGCATTTGGCCGAGTACGAGTACTTGCCCAAATACTAGGTATCGGCACTAATACTAGTATCGGTGCATCCCTACATAAAACTCAAATCCCCCCCAAATACAGAACCTTATACCCACAGTTGATCCAGAGGAAGGCAAAAAAAAACCCTTATGAAGCATTGTGCTATTTGCTCCAATAGAGAAAAAAAATGCTTCCGACAACCTCGGCACTCCAGCTGTATTGGCACTACAAATCTCATCATGCATCTGCCTCTGGGAGTCATATCTGTGGCCGTCAGAGTCTTGCAATGCCTCATTGGACTTGTAGTTTGACAACAGCTGCCGTGCCGGGGTTTGCCCACCCCTGCTCTATAGTATTCTCCTTTACTCCTCCCCTGGCAGCTACCTAAAGAATATATAGGGAGGGGTGGAGGAGCTGGGCCAGCATAGAAAGTAATCAGACATTCCCAGAAGAGGAGACGGCTGTAAGGAGGGAGGGGGCTGTGCTACTGAATTGACTTTCCTGGAGCAGTCAGATTTAGAAGTTTAAATGCACATTGCAAGTGAAAAAACATTCTTGAAAAGGAAAAAAACCCTGCAAGTAAGCATGTAAAATACTTCATGCTTCTCGGGCCATTCAGGAGGCTCAGGGAATGGATGTATGCTTTTTTAATACTTATTGATTAAAAAGACATACATCCAGAAACAATACCGCTAACCTGCTTCAGCCTTTCCGGCCTTAATCAGAGCTTCGGCTATGATTAAGGCCAAACAGACTAAACGTGTGAGTGTGTGCCATTCCCTGAGCCCCTGAGGAGGGTGGGGAGGTCCAGCACCTCTTTAGTCTTTGCTAACCCCCACACTGCCCCTATCGATTGATGATATTGTATCAGTTACGCTCAATCTTACTTTGGTCGCTTTGATACACGGCCGTATCTGACTTCAGTTCGCTGTTTGTCTTTGGCACCATTTCCTCTTCTCGTCTTCCGTTGGGCTCTCTGTCCCTGTTTGTATTAGAACAGATAAGAATGAAGTCGATCCTTTTAAGTAAATAACGGAAGGTGGATAAGCAGGAAGGTGGGAATCTTGAACTCGCTGGCCGCGCTCCGTGTTGTTACTAGGAGGCTTTCGGGGCACCCGGGGATATTTTTTTTTTTTTACTATTTCTGGTGCTGACGACAAATAAATTTCTCATCATCACACAAATGGCAAAGGCTTCGCGTAGGGATTTATCGTCACAATCGCAGCAAGATCCACTTTTGCAGAGCAGATTAAAACACCATAGAAGTCAGATTTTTAGTTTTTTTTTATGAATTCACTAGGGCTGTCCCGATGCCACTTTTTCAGGACCAAGTACAAGTACATCCCCTCATGTACTTGCCGATACCAATTACCGATACTTTTTCTTAAAGGGACAGGTGACTTTAAATGATCCATAGTACAACTACATGTTATGTACTATGGATCATGGTTTAACCTATTCATGTTAGTATGACAAGTACAAGTACAACTACAGACCATGGGGCTTTAACAGCGGTTTAAACTTACCCCGTTTTCGCCGCGCGCTCCGTCCGAGACTCCCAAACTGTTCGGGCGGCCACAAAGCATCTTGGGGCGGGCACATGCGCAGTTCGGATTTTCGGCTGGGACGCGAGGAGAGACGCAGGGTAAGTCGCGTGCACCCGCATGCAGACACCGCGGGATCGGAACTGCCAGCAAGGACAGAGGAGTCAGCGCTGGATCGGAGAGCCGCCGCACCGCTGGAGGGACAGATGAAAACATCAGGAAAGAAGAGGAAGATCGGATTAAGAGACATCATTTAAGGTAAGTGCTAACATTAACATTGGGGAGAGGGAATTTTTTTTTTTTTTACTTTAATGTCACTTTAATAAACCCTCAGCAGTTTTTGTATATATATATATATAAAGGCTAGCAAGCAGTAGATATATGCAAAGCGATTAAAAAAAAACTTTCATGGGGGTAAATACTTACCTGTGTTTCCGCGCGCTCCCCTCCAAACATCTAAAAATTCTTGGACGGCCACGAAGGACCTTGGGGCGGGCGCATGCACAGTTCAGATGTTCGGCCGGGAGACGAGGAGAGACACGAAGGAAGTCTATGGAGCAGCGGGCACCCGCACAGACTACGTGGGACAGGAAGTGGGAGAGGAAGTGAACAGGAAGTGCCAGCTACCACAGAGGAGCCGGCTCTGGATCGGAGACCCGCCGCAGAGCTGGAGGGAAAGCTAAAAAGTACAGGAAAGAAGATGATGATCGGATTAAGAGGCATCATTTAAGGTAAGTCCTAACATTAGCAGTGGGGGGACTTTAGCCTTTAATGTCACTTTAAAATCTAAATCAAGGACAGGTAGCAGGAGAGCTGTCTGCATACTATCCTCCTATACATCAGGGTCAGCAGAGACTTCTGCAATCCTTCATGGGCCCCCCTTCCACCCCTAGCCCCTATAGCAGCCGCTATTGTTACACCCCTGCTACTTTGCCACCAAAATAAAGAATACTGATGCAGCCACCAAATCCGAGGACTTGTAAGCTGCATTATATTCAATCTGCTTATACTTTGCCTTTCTTGCCACTTCCTCCTCCCCAATCAACATGCTAATTACATTTTTAAATAAAACCTTTCCATTTTCATGACATATCTTATTTTAGACTCGATGTCATTATTGGGTCTCTGTGCTTCTCCATGCAATGCAGGCAGATCATAGCTGGTGGGAAGGGCGGGCAGGGTGCTCTACATAGCTTCCTGAATTCATAACAGCACCGGGCTCAGTACTCCTCTCAGGAGCCCTCAGACCTGACACAAGCAGTGCTGGCTCTTGACAAATCTCAAAATGCCTTGAAGAGTTGTCAATCTGTAGAAATGCTCAATCCTATGCAAACACCCATATGAGATGCTGACACTCAAATGATTGACAGAACTAAAATCCAATGAATGAAAGAGGCATAGGCTAGGGACCGTCAAGCTGGGGATGGAAGGGCTGCAAGCAGCAGGCTGACTTGACAAATGTCACAATGCCTTGAAGAGTGGATCTCGGTCTGAGGAAGTGGTCAATCCTATGCAAACACACATATGTGATGCTGAGACTCGATGATTCACAGAACTAAAATCCAACGAATGAAAGGGGCGGGCTAAGGACAGTCAAGCTGGGCAGGGAAGGGCTGCAAGCAGTGGGCTGACTTGACAAATATCAAAATGCCTTGAATGGTGAATGTCAGTCTTAACAAGTGGTCAGTCCTATGCACACCCACATGGGATGCTGAGACCCAATGATTGACAGAACTAAAAGCCAATGAATGAAAAGCATGGGCTAGGGACAGTGAGGCTGGGGAGGGAAGGGCTGCACGCAGTGGGCTGGTTTCTGAGAGGAGCTATGTAAATATCAAAATGCCTTGATGGGTGGTTGTCAGTGTGAAGGAGTTGGAGTTCCTAGGTAGGCTTCATTTGCATGCAGACCACCCTATGTAACGCCCACATGTGATGCTGAGACTCCATGATTAAAAGAACTGAAATGTAATGAATGAAAGGGGCGGGCCAGGGACAGTCAGCTTGGGGAGGAAAGAGCTGATGACGTTGGGCATCCTCCAGCAGGAAATGAGGCGGCCTCTGTCTGACTTGCTGCAGCTTCTAATGCACATTGTGAGAAGCTCACAGTGTGCAGTGAAATCAGAGGAAGCCATTTCAGTCCAGGAGAGGAGCCGGTACAACTGTACAAGACTAAAGGGAAGGCCGGAGGTCACTTTAAATATTTTTGTTCTGTGGCTGATTGGTGCACATGGCAGGTGCACTTTAATCTTTAGTGACAACTTTACCTTTGGCAGATCAGCAGCAACAATCACCGTTTGCTGAGAACCTGCCAGCTTGATAACAGAGATCGTGCGACATTATTACTCATATGCTCCGGCAGGGTCTGGCACAGAACCCGGAGCCTAATATTTACTTTGGCCTTACGTGGATTTTGTCACCAGGAGGTGGCTCCGGTGTCTCAGCACCAAGTGTAAGGATTTACCTGTCGTCATTGGAGCCTACACTCCCTTAGGAATGCAAAGTGTCTACCTTAGGTGGATATTGAATGTGTGACGCTTCACCGGGGTCATGTGATCACACTTGTCACCTCTTGTGAGAAACGTATTAGGTATTGTATTCCTATACGGCTAAACGTTGGTGGATACCTGACCGTCACACCTATATGAGCTTGTTGGACATCATTCCTAAACCGTGGCCATGACATCAAGCACATGGCAGTGCAATCTCAATTGACAAACATCGACATACAAAGCCATTCCATCTACTATATGGCCAAATGTATGTGGGGACCCCCTCCAATAGTAGCCTTCAGATGTTTCCAGTGGGGGGTATTAATGCTACAGGGTAGAAGGACATTGTAGACAATTTTGTGCTTCCAACCTTGTGGGAACACTTTGGTGAGGACCCCTTTCTGTTCCAGCATGTACAAAGTCAGCTCCATAAAGACATGGCTTGATCTGGAGGAACCCAAGTGGAGCACAGAGCCTTGGCCTCAACCCTACTGTGCACCATCAGTACCTGAACTCACAAATGTTCCTTTGGATAACTGGGCACAAATTCCCACAGACACACTCCAAAACCTCATGGAAATCCTTCCCAGAATAGGGCTGTTATAGCCACAAGGGTTGGGGCAAGTCTATATTGACGCCTATGGTTTTGGAATGAGATGTCCAACAAGGTCCTACTTAAAGTGTATGTAAAGGCAACATATTTTTTTTAGTTTAGGATAGAGTAGAAAAGGGTTAAAACCTGTATTGGGTTATTTTCAGTTGACTTTGCCCCATTAGGGAGATTTCCCTTCACTTCTTGTCCTGGAGAAGCAACAGGAAGTGAGAGGAAAGTGAGCGAAATTCCCATCTTGAACCATTGTCACCCAAACATTTGTACCCATTGGATGGTGTACCCCTTGCTGTGGTGACAACTGTGCAATGTTGGATTTCCTCTCACTTTGAGTCTTGGTGACAACGGTCTCCAGGATTAGTACAGGGCTGAATATCCCCAACAGGGACACAGTGGCAAGAAAAACGTAATAAAGGGTCTAACTCTTATAGCCTCACCATACTGACCAAAACTAAGATAATGCGTTTTTACTAGGGATGCACTGATAACGGCTTTTCGATTACGAGTAACGATATTTATTTTTTCCGGTACTCGCTGATACCGATACCGAAGTCCCATTAAGGAAGCCAGGCGGCGTGCAATTACTCGCCACCTGGCTTCCTGATTAGCCGGGACTAGATGACGATAAAGGATAGAGCCCGGCTTTCTGGCCAATCAGGAAGCCAGGCACCGTGCAATGACGCGGTAACCGGCTTTCTGATTGGCCGGGAAGCCGGCTCCATGCTCCTTCGTCACGAGGTGATGAGGGAGCATGTGGTTTGGTCACATAGTGTGTATATACTGTGTGTAAATACATAGAGAGGTAGGTATACATCTAAAAGGCAAAATGTCAGCAATTTTATCATATGAAAGAACACATCCCTGGGGTCCCTCTAGATGTGGGGTCCCTCTAGATGCCTGCTGGCCACTGGTTGCTGCAGACTTTAGCTCTGCACTCTGCTGACTGGTTGCAGGCACATCTAAAGGGATGCTGACACACACGAAGGCAAAATGTCACAGCATTTTTTATCATATGAATGAACACATTCCTGGGGTCCCTTTAAATGTGCCTCCTGATCACTGGTTGCTGCAGACTCTAGCTGTGCACTCTGCTGATTGGGTGACTGGTTGCAGGCACATCTAAAGGGATGCTGGGGATATATATACACACACACGCAAAATGTCACAGCATTTTTCATCATATGAATAAACACATTCCTGGGGTCCCTTTTAGATGTGCCTCCTGATCACTGGGTGCTGCAGACTCCAGCTGTGTAGTCTGCTAATTGGGTGACTGGTTGCAGGCAGGGATGCCGGGGATGCGTTCTTTCACATTAGGCTCGGGAACAAAATGATGGCAGAGAGGGGCCAGCAATGGAATTGATTGGGGGAGAAGTGATTGATGAATGGTGGAGGACAGTCAGACAGGAAATGAAAGCAGGTTTAAGATTGCTGCTGCAGCTTCAAAGGATTATATTGTAAAGTTGCAGATTTGCAGGTAATTGAGAGTAATGTTTTTCAACACAGGGGAAGACTTGCTACATGTGTGGGGAAGGCTGGAGTTCAGCTTTAATATAGCTGACAGGTTCACTCTAAGCTGCACATAACTCCCTGTTAGTTACAGATCCCTGTATTTTTTTTGCAGAGCTCATTAAGACTCGAGGACGACGACAACGAGGAGTCTTCCAGCGGCCCCCGCAAGGATCGCAGGAAGAATTCGTTGGGGGGAGAAGAGGTACGGCGCCCGAGGCGATCCATGGGCAACAGCGCCGAATTATGGGCGAAAACCAACCATGTTACTTCACCAACAGCGCCCCCTGTGGAGAACAGCACTCCCCTGCAGTCCGCTATTAAACCGTACCTCTTGCAGAAGCCTGAGGTCTGCATCGTGCCGCCTTCACCCCCCAAACAGCCGCCGAAGGAAAATTCTCAGCCTCCGAGTCCTCCTCCTAGTCCTGGAGAGAGGAGCCCAGAAGTGCCGTCTCCCGTCGACTCTTCATCAGAACAGTAAGTGTTTATCTGCTATAGACTTTATGGGGTCTGAAAATTAGCGGCAAGTCCCCCTATCGGGGTATTCGGTCCACATTTTCAATATTTCTTTTCGATATACATGTGAAAGGATAGAACATTTGTAAATAATCTTTCCAATGTGTGCTAGACTTGAGCTCCAGGCATAAGTATACATATATAGGAAATGTTTGACATGCCGAAAGATTTGTAATTCTACCCATCCAGCCCTGAGATTTACACAGTTCTGTCACACAGCACAGTCCACTCTGGCAGGGGAGGAGAGATAATGTTTCTAATATTCAGAATTCATAGTCCAAAGCAGTCTTTGTCTGTGGTCAGCACAATAAATTTAGCTTAGAATTCATAGGATTTAGGTCTGGAAGTGTCCTCTCCTTGAGCTTGCACAGTGTATTGTCTACTTTCCATAAGCAGTGCTGCCACCTATGGGACAGGTCTGGACTTACCTCCACAACTGGTACATTGACTGAATAGGGGTAGCAACATTGCTACTGCTTAGAGAACTGTTCTGGCAGCTTTGTCACCTGAACACAGGAAGTGGCACTAGTGACTATAACTGGTATGATCAACAGGTTGAATAAAGGGAAGAATAGAGACAATGTGACAAGAGCCTGGTACGGCGATATTTTATTGAATTTAAGGTCTAGATCATATGGTGGTCATAGGGGGCCTCAAGTGGGGCCCCTGACATTGCCAATGGGCCTCACAAAATATTCAGTGAGTGTAATACTAAGAAAAAACTACTTTCAAAGACTGCAGACATGCAACAAGTGATGATCAAAGACTATGGGCTTGCTACAACTGATGGTCAGAGACTGCATGCAAGCAACATGAGATAGTCAAAGACTATGGACTACTTACAAGAGATGATCAGAGACTGCAGACAAGCAAAATGAGATGGTCAGAGACTGTGGGCTGCCTACAAGAGATGATCAGAGACTGCAAAAGGCAACTTAAGATGGTCAAAAACTATTGGCTACCTACAAGAGATGGTCAGCGACTGCAGACAATACGAGATGGTCCAAGACTATGGGCTACCTACAAGAGATGGTCAGAGACTGCAGACAATACGAGATGGTCCAAGACTATGGGCTACCTACAAGTGATGGTCGGAGACTGCAGACAATACGAGATGGTCCAAGACTATGGGCTACCTACAAGAGATGATCGGAGACTGAAGACAATACGAGATGGTCCAAGACTATGGGCTACCTACAAGAGATGGTCGGAGACTGCAGACAATACGAGATGGTCCAAGACTATGGGCTACCTACAAGTGATGGTCGGAGACTGCAGACAATACGAGATGGTCCAAGACTATGGGCTACCTACAAGAGATGATCGGAGACTGCAGACAATACGAGATGGTCCAAGACTATGGGCTACCTACAAGAGATGGTCGGAGACTGCAGACATGCAACAGGAGATGGTCAAAGACTATGGGCTGCCTTCAAGAGACGGTCAAAGACTGCAGACGTACTACTGTAAATGACTGCTATTACAGAACAATAGGGAAACGAACACTACTGTCTGCAGGGGCCCTAAGGGTCACAAAGGAAGTGCCAGAAGGCCACAGTTTGGGCGCCAGTGGTTAAGATGCACTCGAAGCAGGGATGGTAATCACATTCCATGGTACCAGATGACAACAAGCATTTGAAATACCAGAATAAAATAATGGAACATTGAGCAAGTCAAAATGTGAACACGGTTTAAGGGTGACTCCACTCAAGTCTGATTTTGGAGTCTAGGGAAGCCCCATTCTCTCTGAGATCCCAGCTCCACCCCCTGCTGCTTCCATGGCACACTAGTCTCTGCTGGGAAGTTTTTCCTATAAGCACCTTGTGTGGCTCTTCATATACAGTATATACCTTTTTAATTGCATGCAATGTATGTGCGCTCCTATCTACTAATAGAAACAACAAAGCTGCTCTTGGAAATGATATAATATGTAAATCTTTTCCCTTGTGTGCAGGTCGAGCCCGGAGAGTGTCGGCACTCACAGCAGCAGCTGTAATATCTCCCTGTGTCAATCTACCCCGGAGGCAGACAACTTGCCTGTGATCAGTGATCGGGGGGTATTTAAGTAAGTTGTCTCCTGTGACTTTGTTTATGGTGACCACATTCGTATAATCCAGTTAAACTCAGGGGTGTCAAACTCAATTTAATTGTAGGCCGCATCAACATTACGGTTGTCCTCAAAGGTATCTGTAAGACTATATAAATGTATCTAATCTTTATCATAATTGCCTCTGCATTTGATTATCACTGGTATTTGTAATAACTGAATACCTAGATCTGAAAGTAGAAGTCTAGGTAATGGCCTGGTGGGCTGGATTCGGCCCCTGGGCCTTGAGTTTGACACATGTGAGTTAAAGGGTCGGTCCGCCCCAGATTGATATTTCAGTTATAACTAGACATCAGACAGTTAAAGTGATACTCCAGCCAGGTGTGGAAACACCATTAAGTTATGAGGGGGAGTTACTAAGATTGCTCAATTCCACTTGTATGTCAAGTATTGCTTCTGTGTGGACTGACCATTTAAGAGCTATCAGATGTGGAGTTTGCCTGTTAGAGATAAGGGAATGGCGGTTGTGTCTGCAAATCTGAGAAATGCGCAGGAATACTACGGATTCACCGTCGCCCCTTTTAGGCAGACTAACTCATCTCTATCTGTATTTGCACATCATTTGTTGGCTACACAACTGAAAGCATTGTTAATCAGTGACGCTGACAGTAAACGGAGCCTGATGGGGATGTTGAGGGACTAGTTCCCCATCAGGTCCGCTCTGCTAGTAATTTAATGCAGGCAGTGGGCGGATTACATAGCCAAAAGCAGGCTGTCTATTGGCTGTGCCATCCACCCACTGCCTGCTTTCAGTTACCAGGGAAGTGGACCTGATGGGGAGCTAGTCCCTCGGCTTCCCCATCAGGCTTTGTCCCCTTACTAGGAAAACTCCTTGGCTGCACACTGCGGTGAAGCGGCCATGGACGGTGGTGGTCCATCGTCTGCACTGAGGACGCACGGACACTCCAGCCACGGTGATTACACCAGATTCAGTACCTGTTTTCAAAAGGTTCATGAATCAGGGGCAGGCACCGAACTTTGTTGTGCGGAGGCACCGCGAAATTCTAAAGGGTGACATTGTGTGGCTTCTATACAGAAGAACAGATACTGAGAATGACACCCGGCATACAGGACAAGAGAAGTGGTACTGTGCAGAGTCCATACATACAGGCTAAGAACAGATACCGAGAATTACACCAAGCATACTGAGAATTACACTTGGCATACAGGACAAGAGAAGTGATAGTGTGCAGAGTCCATACATACAGGCTAAGAACAGATACTGAGAATTACACCCAGCATACAGGACAAGAGAAGTGATAGGGTGCAGAGTCCATACATACAGAATAAGAACAGATACCGAGAATGACACCCGGCATACAGGACAAAAGAAGTGGTACTGTGCAGAGTCCATACATACAGAATAAGAACAGATACCGAGAATGACACCCGGCATACAGGGCAAGAGAAGTAGTACTCTGCAGAGTCCATACATATAGAATAAGAACAGATACTGAGAATTACACCTGATATGCATATGAACATATCAGGACCGTGTTGCATATCGGTCACCTCTATACAAGGAAGGGGGTTACATGGGTCCCTGGATTTTAGGGCAAGTCGACATAGCCAGTTCTGTGGTGCATCAGGTCTGTTTTTAGTGTTGATAAATGCAAACCCCCCTCCCCCCCCCAGTCAGATAGTATTGGTGCCCCGTGAGTACATTCTACTCCCCCTGCTTGGTCGTTTAACCATGCGGGGGCTGAGCAGTCCAGGACTATGGTGCCTGCCTGGCGTCATTGTGGGAAAAGTAATCTAGTTTGCATGCTGTAAATTGTTGAGTTCCTTGCGGTGGGCTCTTGTGAGTCTCCAGAAAAGGGGGATGGGGGGTGGAGAGGGCCGCCTTTTGTCATCTCATGGTTACTATGCCAATGGCTGAGGCTTTCTCCCCAGGCCTCTCCATTCAGGACCTCTGCTTTCGGCCTGGGCCCCGGGGACACGATGTGACGGTGGGTCCTGCTGTGCGGGAACGGAAGGAAAATCTGGATGTGTAGGGTAGGATCTCACCTGTGGAGCCCCTGCTGGGTTGGGGGGCCGTCCTCTAATGCTTGCATGCGTAGAAATGTTTTAGTACATAGACGTCCGCGTTCAGCATTCGTGCAGTAATCTACTTCTGTAAACCGCAAAATTGTGTTCAGATTTCTTCCATTCGGGGCAGAATCGTCAGTATAGGGGGGTGAAACATGCCCATACATAGAGGGAGACTTGCCCCTTGGGTGGCCTTTAGAATCTGTAAGTTTGATTGCAAGCTCCTCTGGTGCAGTGGACGGAAGTGTCAGGTAAATGCCTTTAACTTCTCCAAACAGATCAGATCTATAGCAAATAATAAGTGACTATGGAACAGACGTTAGATTGCAAGCTCCTATGGTGCAAAGAAGTGATGTTTCTGGTGAACCCAAATAGATCAGATCTATAGTAATGAATAGGTGGCTGTGGAAGGTGCATTAGATTGCAAGCTCCTCTGGTGCAATGGAATGATGTGTCTGGGTAAATGTCTTTTTTTTAAACCCTCCAAATATACCAGACCTACACTATATTGCCAAAAGTATTGGGACGCCGGCCTTTACACGCACATATACTTTAATGGCATCCCAGTCTTAGTCCGTACGGTTCAATATTGAGTTGGCTCCGCCCTTTGCCGCTATAACGGCTTCAACTCTTCTGGGAAGGCGTCCACAAGGTTTAGGAGTGTGTCTATGGGAATGTTGGACCATTTGTGAGGCCAGGTACTGATGTTGGAGGAGAAGGACGGGCTCGCAGTCTCCGCTCTAATTCATCCCAAAGATGTTCTATCGGGTTGAGGTCAGGACTCTGTGCAGGCCAGTCAAGTTCCTCCACCCCAAACTCCCCCATCCATGTCTTTATGGACCTTGCTTTGTGCACTGGTGCGAAATCATGCTGGAACAGGAAGGGGCCATCCCCAAACTCCTCCCACAAAGTTGGGAGCATGAAATTGTCCAAAATGTCTTGGTATGCTGATGGCTTAAGAGTTGTCTTCACTGGAAGGTGATTGGAACACCTGAATCCAATAATTTGGAGGGGTGTCCCAATACTTTTGACAATATAGTGTATGGTAATGAATATTAGGGACTGTGAAAGTAACATTTGATTGCAAGCTCCTCTGGTACAGTGACTGATGTGTTAGCTGTGCCTTAGTCTATGGAATTGCTTCACACCCTACAGATTGCCCAGCTGTGGTTATTAGTCACTATTGTATGACAAGCATCGAATGTAGGGTTAGGCTACCTCTGCACTCCAGACATTTAACCAGACATGTCGGTCCACTGCACCACAGGAGCTTGCAATCAAACTTACAGATTCTAAGGGCCACCCAGGCAGCAAATTTCACTCTATGTATCCCCTCTGGGAGTCATGTCTGTGGCTGTCAGTCTTGCAATGCCTCATGGGACTTGTAGTTCTACAACTATTGGAGTGCTGAGCTTTCCTACTCCTGATCTAATGTCTTTGGGTCCCGCTTACCACCCACAAATAGATACGTGGAGGGAATTTATCAAAACCGGAGCAGACAGAATGTGAAGCAGTTGCACATGGCAACCAATCAGCATCTCTCTTCAGTTTGCTCAGATAAGATTTGATAATGAGACAGAGAAGCTGATTGGTTGCTATGCACAGCTGCTCCAGATTTTGTCTGCTCCAGTTTTGATAAATTCCCCTCAGTATGTCTGATGCAGCTTTTCTGGTCTGTCGCCGGACTTTACCTCTAATCTCTCTGTCATCTTCATCCTTAAACTCTTTCTCCTGTCTCTGATTCCTTTCTCTTTCCAGACTCCCCCAAACTGATCCTGTTTGGTAAGTTCCTCCACAGACAGCGTGCATCCCCATAACCCTTGCACTTGGTATCGTTCCCTGTACTACCAGCCTCTTGTCCTGTTCTGGTTCTGCGTGTTTTATATTACAGAATGGTTGTGTGGTTTTATACCCGGCATCATCTGTAACATATTGTTGTCCCTGTGTCGTCATGATCCGATTGCATATAAAGGGCGGGCAAACCTGCCAACGTCCTGCTATGGAGAAGCTGCTAGTCCTACAAGTGATATTTAAGGCATGTAAGACTTGTATTTCCTCAGTGGCTTTGTGTTGGTGAGCTCTGATTAAAGAGAACCTGTCAGTTTGTTGCCGCCAACTTATCCTGTATCCAGCTTTGCATTCTTGTGAAGGCCGGTCTTCTCACACCCTGAAAGGGGAATCTGGGCTGGAAGACCCCATCAAGCCTGTTCACATATTAGACACTTTTAATGAAGCTTCTAAAGTAAAAACGTCACTGGTGGTGAAGCCGAATGCATGCAGCTGAAGAGTCCCAGGATCAGAATAAGACCCACTCCTCTGAATCCAGGCTCGTTTGCATACATATGTAAATGTATTGTTATTATGCAGGATCCATATAACGCCAGCAGTTTGCACAGCGCTTATATAAAGGAAGACAGTACAGTTACAATACAATTCAATCCGAGATGGTTAGGGGGGCCCTGCTCATGAGAGCTTACAATCTATAATTGCATTTGCATTCATGACTACACCTGACATTTGCATATTTGTGTACATTCGCATTTGCATACATGTGCATGTCCTGACATGCAGGCCAGTAGGATGAATTGGGCTTAGCTGAAGTGCACTCTGTAAAAGAGAACCTGTACTGGGGAGGTATAGAGGTTGCATTTGCTGGTCTCCCCTAAAAGTGACAATTGCCTGACTCTCAGGGGTGTCCGTAGTTTGAGCGACTGTCCCTGAAAAAGTGCCAGCAGCTCTGGCTTAAAGAAGAACTCCAGATTTTAGAAAAATGAACCCTTGCGGTGGGGCTACCTCTGCACTGCAAAGGTAACGGCTCATTTTTCTCTTGGGGGCAAAAATAAAGAAGAAATACTCACCCAATCTTCGGTCCCATCTGGCTGCAAAATCTACCAAAACTATTTCATGTGTGCACCTACCTAAACTATCCAATCAGATGGGCCCTTGTACTACATACTTGTTGGCAGGTCTGAAGGAGCTGGTAAAATTAGATTGCAGCGCGCGTAGTGTGATTTAATCAGAAAAAGCAGCTCATGTCCGATGATGCAATTGGAGCTTCTCCGTAAAACAAAATGCCACCCTTATATTTTTTTAATGCACCTAATAGAGAAAAGACAGCAGGCCCAGTGTCATGACAGCGTAGAGGGCAAAGCAGCTGAAGGCTTGTGGATTCATATGCATTACATGGGACTAGTGTCATAAAAAAAAACAGATTCCGCCACCTAATACCAGGCTCCCATAGGTATTGTGTATTATAGGTGGATAGCAGTAAAAAGGAAGGTCATGCGAAACATATTTTTTCATTAGTTTGGTGCTGAACATGTTTGTGACGAGGACAGTGAGCATGTGACCCCCCCTCCCCCAGATTCTGTGAACATTGTCCAGTTTTGACCGATAACATTTGTGAAGCCGCATGCTTTTGTCACTTACCCGTCCGTGTGTGGAGTGTAGGCATGTCACGTGTCCATTGAGAGCCGCTAACCAGCTCTTCCTGCAGGGATGACAGGAATAATCATGTGTATGGGGACAAACCCATCCTGAAGAAGTTCCAGTAAGTATCTTTCAAAATGGCGACCCTGACAGTGCGTGTGCGAGTTTTATTTAACAAACTGCGTTCTTTTGTCTAGCTGTATATGACGCAGAGGTGTTCTCTGATGTCAATTATCGAATTGAATATTGGTTGAACCAACACATTGGCTGTCTGATTTCATTGTGGGTCTGTAGATCCCAAAAAAAAACAAGGCTCACACCTTGTACAGGAACCAGGTAACAACAGAAGAGGAACAGGAAAGGAGGAGACATTTACCTGGCATTGGACGATAAAGGGAAAGTAAAAAAGAAAATGGATGCATCACTCACAATTTGAGAAACTGCTCCATCTTTATTATAAGGATTCTGAAGTTATAAATAATTTAAAGGCATATTCCACTTTTTCCAAAAATTAATAAACAAACCCATACTGCACAAAGAAAAAAATGTGCATTATTTTTATTTATTTTTTGCATTGGACCCTGCAAAGCATTGCAACCGTGATAATCAATGCTCTGGCTCCTGCAGACTCTATCACCAGCTCCAAGTCCTTGCTGAGTTAAAGACCTTCGGTTATGAAGCAGGAGGAAGTTATCAATGGACTACAAGTAGAAAGATGTCACTACAGTTGTACTCCGTTGAGATCTACAGGTTCCTCTGCGGCAGGGACAGACAGAACTTGTCGTTTTGTTAATTCACAGATCCTGTGAATGGATCTGTGAATGAAAGACGCGGATGTGTGGGAGGAGCCAGATTCAGAAATACACAGGAGCCTGCGCGATACAGGTACGTAGAGGGGTGGGTCGAGAGTGGGGAGCTACAGAAAGGCTCCATGTTACACCCTACATATGGATGAAACATGGTATTAAAGGCGGAATTAACGTTTAAAGGAAGGTTGCCATAGCCGTTTAAAGGTTCTGCATCCTCTTCATCAGGACAAAGTGGTAGTATCAATGGGTGAATGGGTTAGACGCTGCTTTGCAGGATACTGTGAGATCCACGCTCCTAATCCATGCTTTAACTTTACTACCCGATTTATGTCTCAGCCGGTGCTGTGCTCCATTTTGCACACATGCCCAACTTTACTGCCACTTAGCCCTAATGAAGTAGATGTATATGCTCGAAACAATTTATTTTATTAAAATGATTCATATTTAACAACCTTCAGAAACCACATCATGAAGAGGGAGTAGTCCTTTAAGTGGTGAACTTTTTTTATTTTTTCACATCTCCTTTATTTCATTGTTGGGACAGGTACACTTTAAATACGGCAGACAGTATTAGAGTCAGGTCATATAAACCTCATATATTTCAATTTTTGACTCTTATATAAGATTATCTACAGTATGTGTCTTTGTTGGATCTTCCACATAACATAAATGTGTTTTGTGTTTAGTTCTTAAATTGCATCTCTGGGCAAAACCTTTTTCTTTTTAGGTCTGGATAGTTCGGGGAAAGGTTAGACCCTTTGTCAAATTTTTACTGCTGTCTGTGTCCCCATTGGGTAGATTCTTCCATCTTTTTGTACTGGTGACCATTGTCATCTAGAAACAAACTGAGTGGAAATCAAACATGTTACGGTTGTCCCCAGATCAAGAGGTAAGGAGAAATCATCCAATGGGCCATGGAGGAGAATACCTTCAGCTTCACGTTCGGTGGTGTCACCAACACAGAGGGTCAACAGTCCCAAAGCTGGTCACCTTTGCATGGTTGAGTTGCTTTTCCAGAGCCCGTTCCAAAGCCTCACCCTCATTATTGTAACAAAGACATTTCATTAGACAGGAAAAGAGATAAAGTCTGCAACAGGGACACAGATAGTAATACAAAAAAAGCTGACAGAGGTTCTAGCCTTCCCCTACTCTGCAAAAAAATAAATAAATATATATATATATATATATATTCTAGAGCTGTGTCAGTGACAGCCAGCAGATGCGGCAGAATAGACCGGTTACACCGGCGTTTGCAATAAAGAAGGAGGCGGGGCTCGCCTAACGGCAACCCCGCCTCCTCTCACATCACTGGCCAGCGATCTAAGAGCAGGTGGGGCCAGTGATGTAAGAGGAGGCGGGGCCCGTTGATAGAAGGAGATGGGGACGGAAGAGGAGGCAGGGGCCCGGCGGTGGCGACCACGGAGGTGGACAACGCTTGCAGGTAAGAGGCGTGCAGCCCAACTGAGACCTTGCAGAGCCCACCATAGAGAGTCTATGGTGGGCTCTGCAAGTGGCATAGCTAGCAATCACGTGGCCCCATACAAAATTTTGCTATGGGGCCCTGTGATTTCTAGTTACGCCCCTGACCATGACCTGGATATATGAGAACCTTCACTGTTATGGATATTCCTTAATTTCCAGGACAGTAATTGAGGCAAAATCTTTCTAATGGAGCCCCAGATAGCAGTAAAAATTATAATGATTCTAGATTATTATTTTTTCTAGTCCCTGCAGGTTAAATAACAAATGTGTATTTTGCTTCAGAAACCGTTTCCTGGAGAATCTGGCAGCCACCGAGCTGGAGAAAATGTCCGCCTTGTCCAAAGGAAGGCAAGAGATTTTAGCAGAAGCCGTGCGTAGTAACGCAGAAGAGGAAGAAGAGTCGGCTGGAGAACAGACAGAGGACAACACGGGCACCAGTGAGTTTGGAGAGCAGAATGAAGGTATGTCTCTGGATGAATGCTTACTCACCTTATATCATGTAAAGGGAAACTATCTCTAGCTAGCTATGAAGGACGTTATTAAAGCTGAACTCCAGACACACAAATACAGAGTGATTGAGAATATATTTAAAGTAGCTGTTTTACCTGACAAAGAGTTCGTATTTCTATCCAACCAGTCCTGAGATTTTTACAGCTCTGCCCCTCGGCGCAGCCCTGTCTGGCACGGCGTTAGGTCTTTTTTTTCTCCGCTGCAGTTAAGCAACACTTATGGGTCTTGTCCCTCCCCCAGCCTGTGATTGGACAGTAAACGGAGAAGCAGCAGATCTGATCTGTCATTTTGCTCTGTCCTCCTCTCAGCATGCTCCTCGTACACCTGATTGGCTCCTTTTGCTGCTTCTCTTCCCCCAGTCTGAGCTGTGCTGTACATGGACTGTAAGAGGCTGATACCAGGTTATATTCCATTACATGCACCATGCTTGCATTTAAAAATATAAATTTAATGGTGTATTAATAAACACAAAGTTGCATTAATGTGCCTGTGTTATATCTGCTTGGAGTTCGGCTTTAAAAGTTGCGCACCATCTTTCAGTTCTTTCTGAATAGTTCACCTATCTGGTATAAAACTATACTATAAACCCTATAGAGAGAGTAGACTGGGAGAGAGACCAGGACCTTCATGTCTTATCTACATCTGACATCCTAGAGGTCAAGGCAGCCATGTTGTATCTTGTATATAGTCATACGAGCCAAGTCAGCCTTGTTGTATCCTTATTCTAGGGTCCTAGAAGTCAAGACAGCCATGTTGTGTCTGTATCTCTAGGTCCTAGAAGTCAAGACAGCCATGTTGTGTCTGTATCTCTAGGGTCTTACAAGTCAAGACAGCCATGTTGTATCTGTATCTCTAGGGTCTTACGAGTCAAGAGAGCCATGTTGTATCTGTATCTCTAGGGTCTTACGAGTCAAGACAGCCATGTTGTATCTGTATCTCTAGGGTCTTACGAGTCAAGACAGCCATGTTGTATCTGTATCTCTAGGGTCCTAGAAGTCAAGACAGCCTTGTTGTATCCTTATTCTAGGGTCCTAGAAGTCAAGACAGCCATGTTGTGTCTGTATCTCTAGGGTCTTACGAGTCAAGACAGCCATGTTGTATCTGTATCTCTAGGGTCTTACGAGTCAAGACAGCCATGTTGTATCTGTATCTCTAGGGTCCTAGAAGTCAAGACAGCCATGTTGTGTCTGTATCTCTACGGTCTTACGAGTCAAGACAGCCATGTTGTATCTGTATCTCTAGGGTCTTACGAGTCAAGACAGCCATGTTGTATCTGTATCTCTAGGGTCTTACGAGTCAAGACAGCCATGTTGTATCTGTATCTCTAGGGTCTTACGAGTCAAGACAGCCATGTTGTATCTGTATCTCTAGGGTCTTACGAGTCAAGACAGCCATGTTGTATCTGTATCTCTAGGGTCTTACGAGTCAAGACAGCCATGTTGTATCTGTATCTCTAGGGTCTTACGAGTCAGGACAGCCAGAGTCAGGACAGCCATGTTGTATCTGTATCTCTAGGGTCTTTTGAGTCAAGTCAGCCTTGTGGTATCCATATATTCATGCTTCTAGAGGTCGAGGCAGCCATTTTGTATCTTATATATAGTCGTACAAGTCAAGTCAGCCTTGTTGTATCCATAGTCTAGGGTCCTAGAGGTCGAGACAGCCATGTTGTATCTGTATCTCTAGGGTCAAGACACCCTTGTGGTATCTTTATATCTATTGTCTTGGAGGTCGAGGCAGCCATATTGTATCTGTACAGGAAGTAACTTATTGCCATGTCATCTGTATATTACTTGTACAGTTAGAGCATTAGAGTGGAAGGCATCCATTTAGCAGCAGGACCATTAGAGTTTGGGGAAAAAAAAGTTGGTTGGCCACTGCAAAGGAGTAAAAAAGCCAAGATTGTCAAGTTGTATTTATATATTCTAGATATCAAGGTGATTATATAAGAACTGTACAACGGTTGTTCATTTTGTACTTTGCAAACAGAAGTTCTAGATGCAAGGCATCCATGGCTCTCTGTGCAAATAGCATTTTAGCGATCAATGCTGCCTTTTTATGATGACGCTAAGAGGATTCTGGGGGAGAGGCAACCATTTTGTACCTTTCCAATTAGCACCAAACGTAGTGCTGGGCTTGAAAAAAGTTATTTCAGCAGAAGCCTGCTTCCTGTTTAAATGCAGGTTACAATCTCTGACAACATGGCGACCTACACTGCAGTAGAAAAGTGCAAGTTAAATTTCGAAAGTTATAGTTTCCCTTTAACATGCGTGTTCCTTTGTGACGAATGCAGTTTCTCATACACAGAATGTAACATTGCATGGCTAGACAATACTGCATTTGTTGTGTGCTCAGTTCACGTATGCTTGTGTCTGACCTACTAAGCTAATTATGTTTTATCACACTAGTCTTGGAGTAGTCTAGTTTTTTCCATTTATTGTTATCTCATGCGCATGTGTTCCTTAACCGCCCACCCTCTTCCATCCATAGATTGGTAGTATAACACATATATGGTGTGAATGTCTATATAACCCATTCCTTGCCTGGCATGTGCATGCACCCTGTGCCCCTATAAGCATGGCTTCTCCTCTACCCTTTGGGTGGGCATGTAATGACCCCCCTCTGTTGGACACAGGAAAGGGAGATCTCAGTGAGAAGGAGGAGAAAAATGAAAGTGTGAATGAGAAAGAACTGTGTTCTGGGTCCAGCGATTCCTCTGCCAGCAGCACCTTGGAAAGGGAGGAACGAGGAGAGAAAGAGGAACCCGAATCAGAGCCAGGCAAGAATTCCCATCTAATTACCAATGGCACACCAGTCAGACACAACACTAAGGACTCATTCACAGGAGAATCGGCCGGCACGTACAGCTCCGTGCTGCGTGGACGGCCGTATCGGGCAGCTCCTGGGAAGGACAGGTCCTGCGTGTGATTAGTACGCAGCCCCTGTCCTTCTCTATGGGAGTACGCGGCCGTATGTCGCCCTACGCTCACCCGCCCAGCACGTTCGTGCGGGTGTCCCTACTCGTACGCTGACGGTATGGATCCTGTCTGTGTCCGAGCCGGGACACCCGCACCCATACGGACCTGCACTTGGGGTGAGCGTAGGGCGGTAAAAGGCCACGTACTCCCACAGAGAAGGACAGGTGCTGCATACTAATCACACGCAGGAACTGTCCTTCCCGGGAGCTGCTCGATACGGCCATGCACGCAACACGGAGCTGTACTTGCCGGCCTTTTCTCGTGTGAATGAGGCCAACAAAGAGAATCAGAAAGACAAGCCAACACATTTTGGAAGTTCTAAGGGTCTTCTTCATAAGGGCTTGATGTGCTTTTAAACATTCAAAATGGGTTAATATAATTAAGAATAAATGTAAATATTAAAGTAGACTCTCTCGGACGGAGACTCCACATTTGCTGTGGCTCTTTTTCTTCCAAAACACCCATCCCAGGTGCCTCACACCTCCCTCACTTTTATGGTTCGCACTTATATAATTTTCCATGCAAAATGACCTTTTATGGGCCAGGTCCTCTTGGTGGTTGGATGATTCTGCTGTAGTCCCTGGCTATGTTCCACCCACATTGGAGCTTTCAATGATCCTGCCCACCCTACAAATAAACATCCAACAGCAAGTGTGCAGAGATCAGACCTTCCATCAAAAGATTTCACAACCTAGTTCCAAAAAGGCACCAAAAATTGATAAATTGTGTAACTCTCCAACATCTGCCAAACACTTAATTATAAAAACATCACATTCGGGTGGACTGATAGTTTACTAGCCTCCATAAAGTCAAAGAAGGGGGTTGCAGGAACATATATATGTTTGGGAGGTAATGTAGTTATAGTTTGTGCTTCTACTGCTTTTTTATGTCACTGACCAAAGTCACCCTTTAATTATGTTCCTTTTTTTTTTTTTAGTTAGTCCCG